TTACGTATATAGTATATAGTATATATATATATANATATATATATATATATATATATATACATCATTAAGAAAAATTCATTAACAAAATAGGAGTCCAAAGAATCAAAAATAAAAATCAAAGGTCAAGAGATGTCAAGACAACATCTCATATTGAAATCTTATCGAGATCTAGTGCTTCTCGAAGAACCCCTTCATTGGCAAGGGTACTGGCCTCTTGGTTAGCAGTGAGCACCCCTAAGAATGTGCACAAAGATCACATTCTTTGTGTCACAAATATCAAAGATCTTATATAGTCAACCTCTATGGAATAGAGGAAACAATCCCCTTCTACTACTAAACGGCTACTTGAATGAAATGAACATATTCTTAGACCTGTAAGCAATGCATAAGCCTCCACTAATGTAGAATCGCATATCCCCTGCGGACTTGAATAGCTTTTAAGCTTCGTACCTTCATCTCTAAAAATCTCACCCATACATGGTGGTCCCAGATTACCCTGTGAACATCCATCAAAATTTAGCTTCATGGAGCCCTCCACTGGAGCAATCCATTCTGCCATGGTTTAAAGCACTTGTGGACCTGATAAGGCCAAAGTCTTCCAATCCTTGACCAAGTCAATGGCATTGAAACCTCGAATTTCTGGCCAAAGAAGATCACTATATTACTAATCCTTTCCCTGAGGACCATCGTGCACCCTTTGATACCTAAAAATAACTCCATTCACTCTTTCCTAATGCACCAAATAATGGCATAGTGCTTGTAGGTAACATGTTTGTAACTGTATTAATTCTAGTAATGGAGAGCCATAATTCAGAGGGAGCGAGGGAGGGAGGGAAGGAGGGAGAGAAACCAAAGAAGTCCATATAAGAAAAGACAAAACATTCTTCTTTTACAAGCAAACGTTCTATGACATCTATGGGAGTGGTAAATAAGCCTATGAAATTATCTTATGAAATCTTTCTTCTGCGTAAGTGACTTAGGCTACCTAAACTTTAGTTGCCAGTGATTGTATTTTAAAATTATTGAAAGTTCTCTCTGGCTGACATCCTACTTATTTATGCTTGTTCTGAATCTACTTCATTGGCTTTTGACTAGTGATTCCATTTTGAGGCATGCGTCAAGCGATTTTAAGAAGATGGGCCAGCGCCTTTTTGTTTTTATCATTGGAGGTGCTACAAGGTCTGAGGTATTGAGAAGCCTGGACCTGCTTTCTTTGCTGGTTATATGTGACAAACCATAATGGTCCTGTTTCTGACCCAATTTTTTTCAGCTCCGTGCTGCTCACAAACTGACAACAAAACTCACGCGGGAAGTTGTGCTCGGTTCCTCCAGTCTTGATGATCCTCCCCAGTTTATGACGGTAATTCATTCAACTGTTCTATCTATGACTCTTATGCATATTTTTGAGATTTAGCTCATACCGATTTCAGTGTTCCTGTTTGGTTATGAAAAGAAATATGTTTGTCGTACTCTGATCGTTCATCGTTTCTGTTGGCCTGCTTCTGTGTGCGCGCGCGTGTGTTTGAGAACTTTGGATTGCTCATCTAAAGAAATTTTTTTTTGCTTATGTTACTTTTTTGTGTTATTATTTATAGAGTTATGTTTGCGCGTTCGCATACTTGTGCACATATGCACACGCTTGTGCTCACACCCGGGTTGCTGTTTAGTGCTTAATGCTTACTCATGTGAGCTTGCAGAAACTTAAGTTGTTGAGTGCTCAAGACGAACTTTCTCTCGACGACCTTGTCATATAACTGATCTACACAGCAGCACCATTGATTTGGAGAGCCCTTGCTAAGATGCAAGTCACAAATTCTCTCTCCTCTGTAACCCTATGTCCCATTCAATGCCTGGTGCCTGCTTTCTGGACCTTCCCCTGTTGCAGCTTTGCTTCACAAGGTATTATGAACGCAAATTGCATCTAAAAGATGCATCCATGCCCCCCATCCATAGAGATCAATTCTTGCATTCCCCGCTGTTTTCGTGATTGCAATTATTCCTTATTTGGATTGGAAATCAGATATGTTTTCATGTTGTATATAGGGTGATATATCGTTGTGTAAGTTGAGGCCCAGAATGGTTGGAACTTGGAATATTTTTTTGTGTATATTCATTCCAGTAACAATCTTTGGTGGAGTGTCTCGGATACTAATCCGGTTGTGTGTCATTGGTAGCCTGGGGCCTCTCAAATTGCTGCCTTTGTACTGCTTTTATTATTGCGAGACTGGCTTTAATTTTTTGAATATCTTTTATCTTTTCAGTTTTTTTAGTAAAATAAGCACTTTTTTCTTAATTGTTAATCTTTTTGAATTTATTGTTCGACAATATTTTTGGCATTTTAAAACTAGGGATTTTCGTTGTTTCTTTGGTGATGATCCATTGAATTTTATATCTCCTGGCAGGGTGAGTTGATTGTGTCCTCTTTGTATTGTAAGTACATGGTCTCATAGTATGAGATTCCATGATAGATATGATGGAAATTTATCAAAAAGCACTCATCAGTAAATAGTTCAACTGATAAGGTTGCAACCTTAAAAGGTAGAATTACAGATGCACCTAAAAAATCTATTGGAAAGGTTGTTTTAATGTTGAAAAACTCTCTATTGGATCATCTCGACATCCAGATGTATGAATATAAAAAAAAAATTTAATTTAGGAAAAAGTTTATATATGGTTGCAACTTTAAAATATAGAATTGCATATGCACTTAAAAAATCTATCGGAAAGGTTGTTTTAATGTTGAAAAATTCTCTATTTGATCATCTCGACATTGAGATCTATAAATATATAATCTCGACATTGAGATGTATGAATATATAATATAAAAAAGTGTTTTGAGTCTCAGAAATAGTGCATCCTGCAACAAATTATCTAAGCCGTCCATTTTCAAGATTTTCATATATTTATAGATCTTGATTTTAACTATTTGAAAATTTTAAACTTCAAAAATAATTAAAATCAAGATCTATAATCTTAAGAATTTTTTACAATTTTACAACAAAATTACATGTACATGTTATGATAAAATTTGAAGGTACATTTTAATTGGATTGTTTAATGTTGCAACCCTATAGAAACCGCACCCTTTAATTTATTCTGTTTTATAATTTAATTTTTAACAACCTGTACTTAATCTCATAAATCCCATCAAAGGACAATGTTATTTTTCGGTTCTGCCCCTCCAGGTTTTCTTTCTCGTCGCCTCTTTTCTCTCTCCCTTACCTTCTCTCTTTCACGCACACTAAGCGCACTCTTTACTGCAATTGTACCCTCTTTCTCTCTCTATCGAAAGACCTCTCTAACACTAAGCACCTTTTACTTCAATTGTACCCTATATTTTTCTCTCTATTAAAATCCCTCTCTATGGCTAAACACCTGTTAGCTTCTGACACTATATAAAACTCCTTCCTCCTTTATGGGCCCTTTGGGGTCTAGTATTTGCAAAACCTTGTTATGCATGAAATTCTGAATATATAAATTTTAGTATTTGTAAAACATGGTCTAGGGATCAATGTTGTTTGGGTACCTTCCGGATTAACCTAGCATAAAACAAATCCCTTGTTCGATTCATCTGACAAATCCCTTGCTGATTCATCTAAACGTAAAACCCAGTTTTGACAATATAATTTTATTATACTCAAATATAATAGTACTATATTGACCATATTTCATAGAAAGTCATAAATAATAATAATAATTATTACTTTTATTCTAATAATTATATTATAATAAAATATCATTTTTTTAGTAGTGTAATAGTACTAATATTCATAATGTTGATGATATTCCATAATAAATATTATGAAACTAATATTACATATAAATATTATAATATCATATTTATAATCATTATATAGTAATAAATATGATATTAATATAATAAGATAATAGCATAATATTATCATAAAATATATTTCAATAATTATTATTTCAATAAAAATAATTACAACAACAACATCAACAATAACAAGAACCAACAACAACAAACAACAACAACATGCGTGAGGGAGAAAAGGATATAAGCATAGTGTTAAAGAGAGACTTTTGGAGGGAGAAAGGATATAAGCATAGTGTTAAAGAGAGAATTTTGGAGAGAAATAGACATATAGAGAGGCTAGGATCAAAGGTTAAAATAAAGCTTAGGTTTTATGGACAAAAGTAAAGTCCAGCTCAAAACTCAATTAAAATTGCAGTTTCAGTACCAGAAAGCCTTCAAATCGATCATCTCAAAGTTGAACATTGTGGCGCTACAAAAAACAAGAAAAAATATAAGCCCTAATGTTTATTATAGCACATCATCTAGACCATTTGTTTTTAAGTGTTCACATATCCACAAGATTTGTATGTTTTTTGAAGCTACAAATTTCATAATCAATGGTAGATATTGACTTTAGAGGCATTATAGAGATTTCCCATGTCCGAAGTGTTTTCTCGATAAGATTTTGAGGTGAGGCCTTAGTATTTAAAATAGGCATAAACGTTTGCTGCTATACTGTGCATTTACTCCTCGGGGTAAAACGCATGTTAATACTTTTTGGACCCAAGTTTTGGGAATGCAGCGTATAGTACCTAACAACCCTGGTCAAAGGAGAAAATTTTAAATAGGAACCTCTATGTGCCTCAAAAACTTAATGGAGCTGTATGATTTTTTTATGGCAAAATCTAAGTGTTCAAGAGCTTCAAATCCATTTTTAGCCCTTAAAGATAATCATACGATGATACTTGGATTCCAAACTTTGTATGAAATCCCAAGTTACTTTTTTAACGGAGGGAGTTGTTGTACAGTATGCTCTGGCGGGAACATGCCATATGCCATATTGATAAATTTCTCCAACTATGGCTTGAACCTAAACAATAACTTTAGACGGATTGGATACAAATTGCATAGGATGTGAAACTGAATAGCATAGATAGTAGTCCTTGGTTTAATCCCTGCTCTTTTTCTTTGTCCACTGAATTACTTTTTCGTGGAACCCGTACTCTAAACGCTCTCGTCTTTGAAAGTATGTAACAAGTCCGTTTAATTTCGGTATAATAAGTTTATAATCACTCTCACCTGTATTAGATGTAGAATGTGACGGTTGAAGATGTGCAAATTAAAAAAAATTATTTTCTCAAACTTTGTAACACATCCTCAATTACCCGACTTCACGTATGATGGCTATAAGTGATTGTGATTTTGTACAAAGGCAAACACTTTCTATAAAGAGCCGTTGCAATCCCTTCTAGTCATTTTGATGACAGAAAAATGCTAGGCATATTAACCCACTCACTCGGGAATGGGGTTGAGGTTGTGGTGGTAGCACCAATTGAGCCTCAGCTACTAGAGGTTTCCATTTCTACTGATGCATTCAAAAAATGCTACTTATTTCTATAAACGAGTAGGGGCTTGTATTCCCCATTGATCCACCCACAAGAAACCGCTCACTCTTTCAAATCACACTTAGAATTTTTTTTGATGAGCTTTCTCTCACTTGTTCATGAATAACATAGACACCCCAAAACCGAAGCCCCATCTCTCTAAACGCCAGAACTTTCTCTCTCACATCGACAAGGTTTCATGTTGTGTTTGAGCAATCCGGTGAATCAGGTAAGTCTTTTGATTATTCTCAATCGGTCAAGTCCACCACTGAATCAGTTCTTGAAAAACAAATCACTGCTTATCTCTCTAAATTCAATGAGGGGGTCATCTCCAACCATTTGGGTACATGATTGCCATTGAAGAATTGAGTTTCGGGGTCATAGCCTATAGTGAAAACGCCATTGAGATGCTTGATTTAATACCTCAATCAGCTCCAAGCATGGACTAGACTGAAATTCTCAAAGTGGGTGCTGATGTTAGAACCCTTTTCACCCCTTCGAGTGCTTTATCGCTGGCAAAGGCAGCTAGGGCTCTAGAAATCACTCTTCTGAACCCTGTTTGGATTCTCTGTAAGAATTATGGAAAACCCTTTTATGCAATTCTCCATAGGATTGATGTGGGTATTGTTATAGACTTAGAGCCTGCTCGATCAAAGGACCCTGCTTGCTCTATAGTAAGAGATGTCGAGGCTCCAACCTCTTCATGCTGGTGATATTGGCTTATTGTGTGATACAATGGTTGAGGATGTTGGAGAATTTACTGGTTATGATAGAGTCATGGTGTATAAGTCTCATGAGGATGAGCTTGGTGAGGTTGTTGCTGAGATTAGGCGGTCTGATCTTAAGCCCTATCTTGGCCTTCATTACCCTGCTACTGATATGCCTCATGCCTCGAGTACGAGGAGAGAGCATATGTTATTGTGAGAGGAGTGCAAATATGCCTCCCACCCACCCCTGCTTCAGCGCCTTGTCCCTCTGCAAAACTCATTTTAATATGTTCACGCCATCCAAACAATCCAACAAATTAATTAAAAAAAAAAAATTATAAATAAAATTAGAAAAAATTATAATTCTTTTCAATGTGAAAGTTACTTTATTTGACATCCAATCTGGCCCGTAGGGATTTCTTTGACTCCACCACCCATAACTTGTGTTGTAATATGGGATCTGCTGGTTTGGCTCCCCTTAGTGTTGGGTGGATGATTAAAATAAAGTGAGTGGCAGACTGGCCACAAAAGAATTTGTTATGTTAATTTAGCAGGTTTCATGTGTCCCTCGTCGATTTAAATGAGTCCACCATAAGATGGATTTTGGATCTAAAAATTTAGGAAATTAAGAATTCACCATATGGTAAGAATGAATAAAAAATAAAAAATAAATTGTAATGATAAATGATAACACTTTTTAATGTGTTTTAATACCCTCTGTTTTAGATTTTAGAGGGACCACCAATATAAAACATCCCTCTTTGAAATAGATGTTTGACGCGTGCGTCCCCCGCACAAAACTCTTGGCAATTAGTGTATGGAATTATATACAATGAGATCATTTATATTTGATACAAGGTGGTCACAATTTCTTATAATCAATATTTTAGAAAGCGTATTACCCAGTGCTTGGCGACCGTCTAGGTGGTCCAGAAGGCTTGGGCACATCTCCCAGGCCTAGGCAACCAAATTAGGCGGATATCCCTAAACGTCTGCCTAGGTGCCCGAGAACCCGCCTAGGTGCTTGCCTGAACCTACCTAGGCGGCCGCCCTGACTACGCCCCACCCAGAGGCAGAAATGTGGCTCCTTGAGGTTTTTTTGGGTTTTTTTTACTAGGTACCGCCTAACGCTATTTGAAACACTGCTTACAACCATTTGATGTGAAATTTGAAAG